TACATATATGTATAATTAACTAATTAATAAAAGAGATAGAGGATAGACCTCTCTTTAAAAAAAAAAAAAAAAAAAGATTTAAACTCTGAAGTTATTGTTTAAAAGATAACAATCTAATCATTACATTAAAATTACTATTTTTTTCTATAATTTTATTAGAAATTTTATATTTATCACAGGTTGTGATATCACATTTTAAATTATGAGATTCTAAATTAAACTATTAGTATTTATGTATATATGTATATATATACATATATATGCAAATATGTAATGCTAGTATAATAAGTACAATATATATATATACATAAATACAAATGCAATCAATCAAAAAATTGATCTTTTACTTAGTGTAGTAAATTAGAGTATTTTATAGCAAGTTATTTATAAAAGCATTGTAAAAGTATTTTTGCTCAAAAAACTAAATCAAAGTAAATTAAAAATTGAAAAACTTGACTTCAAGCTTTGATAAGTACAACATGTTAACAGCAGATATTAATCTTGAATAAAAACTTACTAGAAAATGTATGTCATATGAACATGAGCATGATCTATTAACTTTTACGCATAATGCATATATGATATATATAAATAAGGTAACAACAAAAGTAGAAATAAAAGTAGTTTTGAATTATAAACTTATTCTTAAGATTTAAAGTTGCAGGATTTATATAACATATATTAGTAAGTTTAGGTCTTGAATATAGAAGAATTTAAAACTCACATAACACTATATAAACAACTTTTTTTAAATTATAAGGTTTTATTGATTATAGCAAATAATGTTACCTTGGGCTTTTCTCATCCTAAACAAAATGATAAAATTTCCATGCTTGAAGCAATCTCTTCACATTTTCATATTTTGAATATTTTATAAATATTTCTTATTTGCTTTATTTATAGGATTTATAATAACATCCAATATATCAACTATTATTATTAACTATTGGCTTAATATTAGTATTCAATTTGATACACATATGTGTTTGAATAATGAGCAACAAGGTAATAATAAATCTGATGATGATAATAGTAAAACAGCTGAATATATAATTCAAAATACTTTACACCCTAAATAAAATGGTAAAATTGTTATATTTGAAGTAATCTTATATTTCAGTTTTTTATAGTATTTATGTTTTAATACTTTTTAATATTTTATTTATAGGGATTATAGTAGCACCTGATATATCAACTATTATAACTAATTATTTGTTTAATCCTAATATACAATTAAAGAGTTTGAATGATAAGCAACAAAGTGATATTGAATCTGATTATGATAACCTTGAAACAAATGAATATGCAATTCAGATTAGTGCTGTATTTTCAAGTTGGAAATCTTTAAAGAATTCATTAAAAAATATAAATCTGAAATTGGATTTAAATTAATAAAATATTGTGTAAAATATAAAAATAGTAAAATAATCTGTTAGTATTTTATTTGTGAATATTTAGGAAAACATCAGTCAAAAAAAAATATTGACATTATATGTTATAAAAAAAAAAAGTCCAAAAAAGTTAGTTGCTCTTGGCAACTTAATGTGAGATATTGAAAAAATGTTGGTGCTATAATTGTTAATAAGTTTATTGACAGCCATAATCATTCTCTTGCACTTCATAGAAAAGAATTTGCCCCAAGTTTATGTTTATTTTTACAAGATGTTCTTAACACAATAAAGTTTTTAACACAGGAATGTAATTTTGGTGCAAAGGCTCAATGCTAGTATATTTCAAAGAAATTTTCTGATCAACTATTATATGATCATGACTTGTATAATGCTATAAATCAGTATATAAATCAAATGGGTTATTGATAAGAAAACAATACTGCAGATATGATAAAGTGGCTCATAAAGCAACAGAAACAAGAACTTAGATGGGCTATTTATATTAAACTTGAAGGTGTTGATAATAACCTTTCCTGACTTTTTGGATGACTCTTACACAAATAAAACTATAGAAATATTATTATAATATAGTTGTTAATGATAATACAGCTAAAACAAATGGATATAACATGCTTTTGAATCTTTTTGTAATTATTGATAATCATAATTAAACAAGATTTGTAGCACAATCTTTTATTCAAGATAAAACTGTTAGCTCTTATGCATAGTATATATAAATATATATATATATATATATATATATATTTATTTATTTATTTTATTTTATTTTTTTTTTTTAAAAAAAATAGGATTTTAAACTGTATATTAAAGGCAACAAACAATTTGTCCTTCAAAGCAATTTTTACCTATGCTGATCTAGCTATGACCTCTGCTATTAGCCAAGTTTTTCCTACTTCTAAGTACAATTATTATATTTTTCATATATAAACAAATCTTACAAAAAAGTTGTTACAGAAGTTGGGTAACTCATATAACAATTTTTTAAAAAGTTGATTTTGATGTTGTAATAGTTGTAGTAAAATAGAATTAGAGCACAATTGGAAAGCATTATTAGTTCAATATCTAGCAGGTCAAAATTACTTAGAAAAGCTTTGAAAATCATACAAATTATAAGCTAAAATTTATATATTTATCACATTTTGTACTAAAATGCAAGTACTTAAAGGGTGGAAAGTATGATAGAATTATCAAAAATGAGGTTTGTGCAAAAATGACACTTGTTAATTTTGGTAAAGCCATTCAAGCAAAGCTTGATCATAAGACACAGCATTAAAGATTTTCTAAATATAAAAATATGTTACTAATCTAGTAACTTTTAAGTATTCAAAATGTTTTTTTTAAGACTTTCAAGATGAGATTAAAAAGTATTTAACAATAGAATATACCTCTATTCAAAATACTTAAATATCTCAAAATGTTTTATATCAGGCCTGTCTAGTTAAAATTTCAATTCTAACTTTGATATAATATATACTAATTAAATTATTGTTTTACAATATTATTAAATAGTTTGTTCATTGGTAATTATTATACATAATAAATAATATAATAAAAAGATGTAACAATTATTAATGAACAACCATTTAATAATATTCTTTTGTTAATTAAATCTAAATATGTGCTAATATTTATTTAGTTTCCTAAAGCTTATGAATATTTGAAAGGTTATCTGGAAGATGAATACAATGCATTACAGGCTTTACTCAAAACTATTACAAATATGATAAATCTAAAAAATATTTTTAAGATTTGGAAAGTATATTTATTTGATCAACATGTTAATAATTATTCTTACTATATCATTCTATTAGTTAATAATACCTATCTATGTACATGTCTTTTTATTATTTCAAATAGATTGTATTATAGATACTTTTTTAGTGTTTTCAAAATATCCTGTAATGCCAAGTTTGATATTAAACTTATATTTAAGCACTGGTATGCAGATCCAAAGCAAGCATTAGATTCATCAATTATAGAATGACTGCAGAACATGATACAATTATGAATATAAACCAGATGATTTCTATTTATAGGCCAGACATATACTAGCCTAGTATTTACACAAATGTTATACAAAAACAAGAATATGCACATGCTTTAGTGTTGCTAAAAGTGGATTAAAATTTGCATTTAAAAATAGTTTAGTTGATAAGTTTGTAAAGTTAATAACAGGATTTATAGAAAATCATACTGGAGTTAATACTAATTAGTGAATGTTAGTTAATATCACTCAAATAGAAAATCCAAAAAAATCCAAACACAAGAGACATTCAAAACAGTCAAGTTCTATACAAAGGATTCTTTAAGATTTAGATATAGAAAATATAGAGGTTTCAAGATCTTCTAAACATGCCAATATTAAAACAGATAATAACAATATTAAACTGAAATTAGGGATTTGGTATTGTGATTATTGCCATGAAACAGGACATTATACTTCTACTTGCAAATTTTCAAAAAATTAATTTTAGATATATAATTTAAGTTTATATATACAAGCATATTAGAATATTCGAATTATATAATACTCTTGTAAACAATTAGTTGTTTTTGCTTAAATGTATTATAGCTAACAATTGCTTTAAAAATATATGAATTAATAAGATATATTAACAACTGTTTATTTCAAAAAGAAAATTTTTATTTATAGAAGAATTTTAATATTAAATTTTTTTACAGTCACATTTATATTATTTCCAATAGCAGTACCAACTCCTTTATTAATAACCAATTATAGCAAGAAAACTTTGTTAAATTCTTATAATACAACAGTTATAATAATGCATCTATTTTAATTATACTGTAATTTTTTGATCATGTTATCATTATATTATATAGTTTCTGAAATAATAGTATATATTACAAGTGATAAAAAGAAATTTAGTATGTATAGGATTTACTTATTGAATTTGATACATATCTACTATATATATGTATATATAACTATTTAATATGTATATATACTGTATGAATAATTCTAGCAATAAAAGTTTAATCTGACTTTAATATCTCTAAATAGTGCAAAATGGAACTAGCATCATAAAACTAATATTTAACAAAAACTAAAATTCTTAATTAGTAGTCTTTGATCGAGGTATAGTTAGATTTAGTCTAAGTAAGAGACTTAGAGTCTTGTAGATATATTACCAGAGCTTGAATAAGTATCTTTTTTAATGTATATTTTTTGTACTTAATATATTGATTTAATACTATAAACTCTATTTTAGATATAATAAAATTAAAGAAACAAGAAAATATAAATATTACAAATAATTTATTTTAACAGCAAGTGTTTTGAACTAGAGCTGTTAATTAGTCTGTTTAGTCCATCCTGGTTTAAGAACTGGTAATCTTTTAAAAGATCAAATTGGATCATAGTTCATGACTGAATAGAACAATCAGATAAATTAACTATTCAAGATATTCTCAGAATCAATATGTCATATGATATGTGATATCACAGATTGTAATAAATAACAAAATTCTTTTATTATTATTGTTATTATTTTATTTTTTTAGTATTAAGATAACCTTTTTGGTTTTTTGACTTTATTATCACTTTGTGTAATATACTTTTATAAAAATTATTACAGAAAGAGTATACAACTAGCTATATATATAGTGCAAGAAGTCTAGAACTGACATCATATAACTATTGTGGCCAAAATTTTAAGATAATACAAATTATATCTCTTAAATTATATTGCATACAAATTTGCTTGCATCTTTTTTTTAAAAATTAATTTTTATAATAAAATTTTAACAATTAAGTTTAGCAATATACTTTCTAAGTAAAAAACATTTTTAAAAGTTTACTTTATAAACTTAGTTAAGAAACTTTTCTAACTTTATTAAAAAACTTTTAATTAATTAAAGT